CTCCCTCCCTCCTTACTCAGTCTCTCTCTCTCTCTCTCTCTCTCTCTCTCTCTCTCTCTTCTATCTCCTATCTCAGTCTGTTCTCTACCTGACAGCCATGGAACATGTTCACAGGTCCAGACAGAGCCTGTGCAGCAGTCACAACCCAGCCGTAACATCGGCTCTTTCCTAGCACAGGACTCCATCTGTAGTCAAACAAGCTCTATTATCATGCCACTGTGTATTTTTGACAGTGCACATACTGTTCATGTATATACACACAACGCTCTCACTACAGAGATAGCGTATAAAGTAAACAAGTACCCAGACAGGCCAGATCATTCCAGTTTCTGTAACCAAGAAATTGTGAAAAAAGATTGTGCAACCGTTTCCTCAAATGCATTGTCCTTGTGTAGTGTTTTGGTGAGTTGCACTAACAACACTGTGGCCCAGAATCTCCCATAAATATTTCATCTGTGTCATGTTGTAGTTGCCACCCAGTCCATACCATGTCATTTTCATGGTCCTCTAACCAGTTGTTGACTAACAACCTTTGGATTCATAATAAATCATGAAGTAACCTTACGAAAGAGGGAGAGAGTTTGTTCTGTTATGGGTTTTGTCTTGTGTTGACATGGTAAACACACTCCGTTATCCAATTATTACATAGAGTGAATAAAGAAAGCCACGCCTAGCTGTTCGTAAACATGACTTTGGTTGGATTTTGTATCACAGGGAAATTATTTAAATATAAAATGTAAAAATCTTGAGTCTAAATTTTGGCTGTTTTTAATTTACATATATTTAAGATTAAAAGGTCTACAGTTTTGTTTATCTGGCATGTACCTGATAAGCACTAATGGTTACTTTTTTGTACCAGTCAAATGAAGATTTTAGCTGTTTTTGGAATAACTCTGTATTTTTTAGGCCAACCTTTTGCTGATTTTCCACAGGGACCTCTTTCATGAAAGTTGTAATCAGCTGATCTAATTACTGATCAACTGGAGTTTACAATATACAAAAGCAAAAGAGCACAAAGAAATGAAAGTGGTGCGTTTGCTTTCATCATGTCTGTTCCGTCCTTCTGTCTCTGTTCCCAGACTGCATCACTGTGGTCTTATGAGATTTCCCAGCATGCTTTTCTCACGGTGTAATATCACACCTGAGTATAGGGTGACTCTTGTTGGAGCCTGGGGCATTTGGGTCAACTTTACACCACTCTGCTGTAGCGGGTGGTGAAACACACACACACTTACTCACACAAATACATACATACAGTAGGTAGCTGAAGACTAAACAGTGATGAGGCCGTTGTACTTGTCATTATGGGTTTTGTTGAGTATGTGTGTACACAAAGTCTCATGGCAGTGCTAATGACATTTTACCTAAGGTTCCTGCACACCCATTTGTTTAGTTACTCTAACATTGACCAAAAATATATCATTAATAATAATAATAATAATAATAATGGTATAATGGCCTAGTGTGTGTGTATCTTGTTTTTATATGATCATGGCTGTTTGCAGTTTTAATCTTCAATTGCCATTTTAAGAACATATTTTACTGCATTTCTGCTAACATGTATTGTATTTATAGCTACATTTTTGCTTTTTCAGGATAATAGGTGTGTCTATTTTTTTTGGCTACTTTGATGTTTGTTTTAGCTTTAAAGAGGGGAATGTGTGACCAGTTGACAAAGGATGTGACCAAACTAAATGGAAGGGTTTGGGGTTAGACCAGATCTGTAATGTCTTGTGACACCATGTGGACACACACCCGTTGGAGCTTGTCAGGAGACTCCTACCTGCTTTATACCCAGTTTTAGCGTTGGGGAGCATTGTGTTTCTAAAAGAGGAAGAGCTCCTCTAGGAAAGTCCTCACAGTGAGTGTCATGATTTGTTATTCATTGACAGTGTCACTGCATACCTGTGGCAGGTGCAGTCATTCGGAGTCTATTATTACCACTCATGAATTCATGGTAATGGTTTTTCGGAACCAGACAAGACTCTTATGAACAAGATACAAGTCTGATGATAAAACTAACCTGTCTACATGCTTTTGCTGGCAAAGGTTTTTGTGACTAATGGAAATGTACCACTGACATGAGTATGTGAGCAAGTTGCCAAGTATTTTGCAACCACTATGGGAACATGTAGACTTTACATTAAAGTTCTTTTCTTCCTTAACGTAGAGAGTCTCAGATTACAGTTGTAGGTATGTCATTGCAGAAGTCCCTACAAAGGCTTGGTCTTCACCTTTGGACTATGCTGTAAATGTCACCCAACAGGACGGCTGCACACAGCAATCACTACAGAAGCTCAAATGACAATAATGTGCTTGAGGTGGAAGTCATGAGTTGTCACAGTTAATTGAGAAAAGGTTAGGTGTGAAAAGTCCAGGATATGTACACAGGAAAGACACTTCTTACATGCCTGCACTGAGACAAGGGGACCTGGGCTGTTTGCACCATCAACTCTTGGTAGTTTGAATGCACAAGTACACTGATGTTATCAGTGATCATTCAAAGCATGTTAACAAAACATGTCAGGCTCAGAGTCACTCTCTCATTCTGAAAATGTGTGTCAACCTCAAGGACATTTGAAATAGAATATTTGACATTTAAATAAGGTTTTACATAGTGGTTTTTTAAACATATTTTGTAACTCAAATTTATAGACTTTATGACTCTTAACTTCAACTACAATCAAACATGCAAACTTACTGAAAAGCAGAAAAGGTGAGGCTGGAAGATCTTCAGTCAAATCATTGGAAGGTTATGGATCTTTGGGTTTTATTTAGAACTGACTCATTTGGTTTAGACTTTATCTGAACTAAAGCACAAATGCCTCAGAATCAAACTGTGACTCAGACTTTGTGTGTGACTACGTCTTTAAATTGGCACAATGCATTACTAATGAAAAATAAATTCCTCCAAATATTTTAAAGCTAAAACAGAGAATGCACAAATCATCCACAATAAGAGCAGAAAGAGGTATTAGAGGATTTGAGTCGTTATACTTTGACGACATCTAATGGTGAAAATGTATATTGCAACTAGTGGTTGCCTGTTCAGCTGTAAATAATGGACTGTCTTCCTTTTTGCCTGCAGTTTCCTGTGTTGCCCCTGCTCCAGGAATTGGTTCTCAGCAAAGTTGAAGTTGGTATTTTCTTACCGGCTGCTTGGTGGCGGTGAAACAGTGATTTCTTGGCCCTATTTATCAAATCTGCCACCAGTGCAAAAGCCGGAGATGTAATCATCCTGGTTTTTCATTTTAAGATGTCAAAGATGTTTTCCTGAATGTGTGAGAACTGCTATAAGGATGAAGACAAACTAGAAGTGAACCTTTTTTTTTTTTAATATCGCTGACTGAGATAGTGTTTAAAGACATGTTGTTAGTTGTTAGTTATAAATACCATGAACTCTCAAGAGAAAAAAGATGGATAGGTAAGTTACTTAGAATTAACCTCGACGGGTTATTTTCAGAAAACTCATCAATACCCCATTTATAGTTTTTGATCTATTATAACTACATCAGAACACAGGTATAGCACGATGATCTCTGACCCGGTCCTGATGTAATTAAAAATATAACATACCTAATTTTAAAAACTCGTACTTTTCGCACTATTGCATTTAAAAGAAAAGAAATTGGTTGCTCAATATTAAACAGTATGTCTTCCATTATTATATTATATTCGCTTTTCGGGATTTCCGTTTAACCAGAAGCCAATCAGCAATCCTTAAAAAACAACCAATCGGATGAGACTTCTCGGTGTGACAGTTGTTGTGGCGCATGCGTATTGTTTTTTTCTCCTGTAGCAGCAGAACACACAGCACCTCAGTCTTGGCCCCCACTCTCAGCAGCAACACGGTTGGCACCAACAGCATCACCGGCTCCGGTGGCACAGAGGGAGGATGGTCCAGCGGAGAACCTGCCGGGAGTGTGAATGACAGGGAAGTGCTGATGGCGTCTGGTTTTTGTCTGTTTCTGAACGCGCGACTGGCGGCGACCAAGTGAAACGGCTGTGTGAGTTAAAAACGAAGGGCTCTGTTGTTCTGCTGTAGGTAGTTAAGGCTAACAAAACAAGCTAACGTAAACCTGCGAGAGAGTCTCAGAGATAGATGCAGTGTGCTGGCTAACAGGCGGCAAGCAGGGACTTCTGTTGTGAAGGTTTCCCCATGCCGCCGTCAGCTGTGGGTAACAGTAAAAAAAAAAAAAAATCCTGAGCGGGACTGTTTTTATAGGCAACGTTTGCTTTGTGGTTTTCACGAGACTGACAGCTGTGTTTCAACAAAAGAGCCGTGGGGCCGCAGCGTGGACAGAAACACAGAAAGAGAAGTGGGCTGCTTTTTGTTTGTGCTCCATTTCACGCTGACAGACTTCTTCTTTGGGGAGATCCACACGAGGTCTGACCTGAATCTGAGGGATACACGGTGACCCAGCTTAATATGAACTGGAGTGTTTTGGTTTTTTTTAAAGTTTCTGTTCCCCATTAGGGAAACTCTTGACAAGTTTAATGTCAGATGTGACAGACTCCAGACTCTGTCCTTTAGCAGCAGCAGTGTGATCCACCCAGGGTTTGGTTAAACAGTTTGAGTTTATGTGTGTCAGCTGACAAGTTTTGGTGCCAGCAGTGACTCAGAGCATTTACACGATATTAAATAAACCCTAATGTGAGTCTTGGATTTTGAAATTGCCAACCAGGCACCACTGAACCACGGTTCTCTCTGTAGGAGCAAAGACTGTCAAAATGATGTTTTTGGTTCTCACTAACTGTATGTGGATAAGGGAATTGTACTATTTAAGTGTGCTAAGAGGACCATCTCTGGGTTGTTGTTTTTTTAATCATAAGCAGAAGCACAGGGCTTCTGTCGCATCTGAGTAGCATTTTGAAAAGCTTTTACTTGTTCAGTTTGAGATAATAATAGAGAGAAGAATATAAAGCAGGATTCACCACAGAAATGTCACTGATTTTATGGTTTTTCGTTCTCACACACTCCAATGCACAGTGGCTGAGTACAGGATTAAAAGAAGGGGACAGAGGTGGGTTGAATCACATCTAAAAAACCTAGGTCAAAAGACACCTGCCGTGTACAGTGTGACACAGGTATAACACCTGTACACAGGGAGGTTTTTCACCTGTTTAGATCTCAGATTAGCTCCAGCACTACCCTGCTAAGGAAGAAGTGGTAGACAGTGGATGGATGGATAGAACCAGCATTTTATTTATTCCTTTGTAGTAATACCTCAAAATGAAAATGAAGATGTGAGGATTCAATTGTTTAGTAACACAGAGTTCCATGTGTTCTCAGAGATCAGACAGAGCTGATGGGCTCTACAGTGTGTCTCTTTAAAATGTACTTCACAGTCTGTCCAGTGTGTGAGGAGACAGTAATAGATAACGGCTCGCTCGGTGTCTCTGCCTGAGCATCTCAACTCTCCTGCCTGTAACTATGGATACAGTGAAGAATTCATTATTTAGCCTTTATTCAATTAAACATCTATTTGCATGTTGTTTATTAGGTTTTCTGTTTTTAAAATTATGTAAAGAAGTTCCTGTTGTGATATTGATAGCCAGTGTCACTTTTCACTGTTTTTTTAACACTAGTGTTTGAGGATTGTGCTTATATGGTTGCAGGTTTAAACCTCAGCGCTGGCTTTGCTGTGTTATGGTGTGGCTATTTAAGTAGTGAAGGAGAAGATGGAGAGGACTCACTAACTCTGGCCTTCATATGTAAAACAGTGTGGGCTGGGATGGCACCTCATTGTTGATATGTCCACACAGCGATGCTTCATTTGGAAGCACCTGCTGGGTTCTGTGGTGGTGCTGACAGTCGTCACTCTGAGTACAGCAGCCCAATCCAGTGATGCACCTTCAAAGTTTTCACATGGACTCTACTCCAGTCAGACTTTCTGTGCTTATTCAGCGTGAGGGACGGTGACTGACAGACAGAGAAGGCGAGTAGTGAACTGCAAGTAAGAAGTGTATACAAAACACTGAGCCAACTGGACAGCCTGGCCTATTGATTATAGTAAACCCCTACATGATCACTACCACTGTCCCTCTAAAAATACACACACATCACAGTCACACAACCTCCAGAATATTTCTCAATGGTGGCAGCTACTGTGCAAACCGTATGTCTTCTTCTGTCTGTGTGTGTGTGTGTGTTTCCGTCTGTCTGTCACAGCAGAGAATGGGAGGCGGTTGATGGGAGGCAGCCAGCCGCGTTATTCAAATGTTCCAGAGCCCAGTCAGCCACTAGCCAACTGTAGCCGGCTTAAAGAGGCTCTTTGTGAGGGCCAGACAGATGGCCATAGAATGAAGACCATAATGATACTCCCAGCGCCCCCCCCCACACACACACGCACACAGCCACATGCACAGTCTGCACTTGTTATGGATTGTTGTGGTTTGCATTTCTGTGTGTGTTTAAAGACGAGACAGGCTGTTGTTGTGGTACAGAGAGATGGGCAGAGGCCCAGCAGGAAAAGGGGAATTGAAGCAGAACACATTGATAAAAGCAGTGATTTTAACTGACATGTTAACGTGAACACCAGTGGCTCTTTACTGTATGTTTCTTTCTTCACATTTAGTTTGTTGAATTGTTTCAGTGATTTCACAGTTAAGGGAGTGTGTCATAACAACAGTCAAAAGAGCCTTGGTAGCAAAGATATCTGCAGAGGATTTATGAACTCCAGCCATAGCTGTGATTCTTCTGATTCTTCGGTTACGGATGCAAAGTGAAACTGGTTTTGACACATTTAAAAACTGGTCCATCTCCAACAGACTGAAGAACAACATGTGAACAGTTTGATAGCGTGCTACAGTTAGCTCACAGGAACCAGCTCATGTTGGTTTGGGATTCATTAACTTTCCTCTCTGATCTCCTCTCTTCATAAGCATCACTCTGTCTTTTGGCTTCATCGGTCTCTCATTCTCTCTATTCATGGTAAGATCAAATGCTTACTCCTGTGATCGATGGATAGACTGATTGATTGAGTAACGCTCTCCTCGTCTCACTCTTATCATGCCCTCTTTCTTCATACCATAACCAGCTTTTCCCCACTATATTTCATCTCTAATATGTCTCCCTGTGTCTGTGTTTCTTCTTACAGGGCAGAATAACACTGAACCATGTTGCTCTAAGTTGTGACCTGTGGTGAGCAGGGGAGGTGGAGGAGGAGGAGGAAGAGGGAGGCGTAGGCCTACAAGCAGACGAACTTTGGCCACACTATCTTGCGGTGGCATTGAGCCAGCTTTAAGCCATGGGCAACACAGCCACCAAGTTCCGCAAGGCCCTGGTGAGCGGCGACGAGGCCCTGGCCTGGCAGCTGTATGAGGGCAACCCTCAATTCAGGGACGGCTTGGATCCAAATGCATCATATGGAGAGCAGTACCAGCACAACACAGCCCTGCACTACGTCTGCCGCCATGCCATGACACGTCTGCTCAGGTGAGACTTTGTTTTTTTCTATGTTATTTTCAATGTAAAGTCATTCATACCTTTATGAAATGCTTATAGTTCAGCCTGTATGAGAGCCTTAAATATCTTTGCCTTAAGAAAAGGACATGGATGAAGGGATGGATGGGCAAGTGGTCAGACAGGCTTGTTGGCACAGTCTTGAAGAATGAAGAATTGGTTTAATACACACAGATTTTTTTAAAAGATGCCTTTCATTTAGAGCAGATGTCTGTGACAGACGCCGCTCTGACAGAAAATCTGATTGACTGTTAGTAGGTTATATATTGTGAGCACTTGTGCTTGAGTAGATAGTTTTTGGATGCTGTACAATTTAATACATACTATTTAGCAAAGGACTAGTTAGCGCAGAGAAAATGTTGAATTTTGCAGACAATTCCAAGTTGCAAACCTGTATTTAGCCGTTTATTTGTTCATTTATTTACTTGGAAACTCATCCGGTGGTTATCAGTGGTTACAGCGCAGAGAGAATGTCAGCCGAGTTACTCTGAATTAGGCTTTAGCTGTCAACCCTGCAACATGAAGATCATGGTTCAAATAAACCTTAAGAACCTCAGGGTATAAAAAATCCTTGAATAATGTCATTACAGAAGCCATACGATTATCATTGCTGCTAACCCAATCTTAAATAAAGGGGTCAGTCAAAAAAAAACATACGGAAAGCAAGTCATCAGTGTGTCATTTCCTCCTTGCAGGGATAATTAAGCTGCTGGCCATGACCAAGACAGCTGATTCACGGACTGAATTTAAAAGCTGTCCACACCTCCTCCTCCTCCTCCTTCTCTACTTCTTGTTCTTCATCTTCTTTTTCTTCTTCTCCTCTTTTGCCCTTTGTTTCCATGATTACAGAAGAGAAGAGCCAGGAAGTTGTTTGAAAAAGGCCAGTCTATTATCTCTGCATCTGCATGTATGCACACTGGCGCGTGTTTAAAGCAGGAGGGAAAACTGTGACTCTTCAACTGCCTAATGTGTCCAATGTCTGTGAACATAACACAGCGAATCAATTGGTGCTATTTGTGTCCCTTCCCACCAACCTGTAACAGACCTGAGACGTGCAGCAAGCAGCTCTCAGTTCCTGACAATTACCGAAAAGGAAAATCAAGCATTCGTATGAACTGGACAGAGGCTCGGCGTGGAGACAGAGAAATCTCAGACAAAATAGAGTCACAGAGGACATGCGTGGGCTGGTGGATGCAGTGTGTTTTTCACATTATTTTTAACATGTATCTGCTTCATGTTTATGGTCTCCTAGATCCTCCTAACAGGCTACTGCTCTCATGGGATGTGCCGAGTGGGAAATGAAAATTAGACCTATTATTGGAAAACCGGGTGTGACTGAGGAAGTGTAACCCTTCCTACATAACTACCATTTACCCAGTGTGTAAATAATAAGCTGGAGATGCCATTGATTTTTCTTCTGTGAGAAAAGAGGTGTAGATTCTGTGAGCGTGGCGACACAGCAATGTTCGTCTTGCGTTTTCTTTCTTTCTTTTTTTTTACCTGCAGTGTTGTGTGTTTATTTTCTATGTTGTTTTCTTGCAGTTGTGTAATAATCAGATGTTCTAAAAAATGCTTGACTGTTGCAGTAATCATTTGCCTGTTGTTTCTAGTTGGCTGATATTATTGCCATCCATCCTGAACAAGTGGCAGTGTGTGCATATGTTTGTGTGGTGGCTTGTAGTTAAGTGATTATTGCTGTGCACATGAATTAATGGTGGCTTGTGGCTCACCAAATGATGAAAGGTCAAAAGTGCAGGAGCAAGACGGCAGTGGAAGAATGGACCAAATGGCTCCAAACAGGGTGTGATGCATTAGTGGCTGAGGCTTCCAACGAATAGAAGACAGAGCTGCGAGAGTGGGGTTTTCAATGGATTCAATATTATTATATATTAAAATAATATTCTTAAAAACTAGAATCAGAGAGGGCACAAAAACACAAATGTTCTTTTTCAAAATATATGAAACAAAATAGGTTAAGCCAGTTGAAAAAACGAGGTTCAATCTAAATCCTTATGGTGGTTTTGACAGACAACAACCAGAGAGGAGGGAAAAAAACAAATGACCTGACAGAACTACAACCACAGCTGAGCATCCAGTGCAACCAACACATCCATCACCATCTGTGTGCACTTGTGCGTTCACATCCACCAGTCAGCATGTCCATTATCGCAGAGATGTTAAACAGAAAAAGTCAATACTCTGCCATCTTCCCTCCCCTGTCTCCCTCTGTCTTCCTATTCTAACCACGACACTCACTTCAATATTGTCGTCCATTTGTCTCTCTCAAGGTGACCTCGTCTTTTTGCTGTTCTATGAAACCTGCTTTTTAAGATCATTTCTTTATGCCTTTTTCTTGAATCTCTCATTCACATAGATCCTTCCTGTTTAGCAAAGAGGGGAACCCCAACAAGCGTAATGTTCACAATGAGACGTGCCTCCATGTTCTGTGTCAAGGCCCGCGGATCCTGTTCCTGCCACAGGGAGCGCTGTCACCACGACTAGCTCGACCCCACAGGGACGAGCAGCGCCGTGCAGACTGCCTCCAGGTACTTTGGGAACGTGACGTGTTTATTAAAAAAGGTTCATGAACCTGTGAAGTTATGGCCAATCAGCATGGTGAACTGGTGTTGTGGTCTTCAGTAATGATTGACTTCAGAGGAAACTAACGACGTTGAATACTTGTTTTTAGACATGCCCTAGACAACCCTAACCCTTTTACCCAAATAATTCTTTTTGGTTTGTCTTTAAACCCTAGCAAAAGTCAACCTAAGATGATCTACAGTTTTCAAATACACAAAGCTGCCAGTGTAGCACAAGCAGCCATGCTGTGCCGAAAGTCACCTTTCTACTGGTGCTGCGTTTAATCTCCCGCAGGATGTCTTAACTCTGTTTACATGCCTCAAGTAATTTCCTCTCAGGCGTCTCGTCTGCTGGAGTTATGCGGTGGTTGAGGTGGTGTTTCTGTCGCAGCAGCATCAGGCCAGTGTGTCTTGAGCTCAAACATAAGTTGATTGTGGGGTTTCCTTCTGCCAGATGATCCTTAGCTGGACTGGGGCCAGGCTGGAGGGAGGCCAGTATGAAAAGGCCAACGTCAACGCCACTGACTACCAGAGCAGCACCTGTCTGCACTACGCTGCCGCTGCAGGCATGAAGAGCTGTGTGGAGGTGAGAGTGGAGTAAGCACTGGGATTCTCCTGGCTCTTCAAGTGGACTATTTCACTGCTCTACATTCTCTGGTGAAATCCTTAAGGCAATTATCTCCCTTTCTAATAGCCATCATTTCTTATGTCCTCTCTGTTTTGTCCCTGTAGCTGTTAATCCAGGGCGAGGCGGACCTTTTCGTAGAAGACGAGGACAAGCTGACACCGTGTGACCATGCGGAGCGATTTCGCCACACCGAGCTGGCCCTTAGCCTGGAGTCGCAAATGGTTTTTTCCTCCTCTTCGACTCAGCAGTCAAACACAGACGCACATGTTGAAAACAACCTGCTGCAGTACAAGGAGGTGAGACCATAGTCATGAGTCGATGGGATTTCCTGAAGTTGAAGTATTCTTCTGGAGGGGAGTTGTCATTGGTGTCATCTAAATTGTTTATTGTGGAGATACAATGACATTTCCAGTGAATGTGCATGAGTAACTGCTCTTTGTGCTCTGCATGTCTGGGATTCCGTAGTGAAAAAATAGAAGCTGCATCAGTGCGTCACTTTAAAAAGAAAAAAGTTCCCACGGAGCTGTTTATTCTTTAAAGGTCAAAAATGGCACTGTTTCTCATAAGCGGGACAGAACATACTTCCTGTCAGACCTCTGTGGCTCAGTTGAACAGAGGCCAAATGATAGCAGTTTGATTTTACATCCTGCAGCCAAACTTGTGCTAATACTTGATCGTATTCTCTCTCTCTCTCCCTCTCCCTTCTTCCTTCTTCCTTCTTCCTTCCACCCACACACACAGTGCTCACTGCCTAGAATCCCAGTCAATTTCATCTCTATCACGTCACAATTTTCCTTATTTTTGCCAAACACAAAAAGTCTTAATTTTTATATTTTTCATTATAATATGGTTACATCTATCTGTTCTTTTTTTTAATATTTTTTGTTCAATCTGTCCTTACAGCCCTATGAAGGACTCAAGCTTCAGGACCTGCGGAGGCTGAAGGACATGCTGATTGTGGAGACGGCAGACATGCTTCAAGCCCCTCTTTTCACAGCTGAAGCTCTGCTCCGGGCACATGGTGTGTTTGCCTCCCGGATAAAATTGTCATCCATGATTTATAATGAACCCCAGGCCATTACAGGGTGATTGCAACATTTGTAGAAATACAGGAGTGAACGGAATATTTAAACGTGTCCTTCCTCCCTCTCCCTCTCTCTCTCTCGCTCTCTCTCTCTCACACACACACACACACACACTCAGACTGGGACAGGGAGAAGCTCCTGGAGGCCTGGATGTCAGATGCCGAAGGCTGCTGTCAGCGCTCCGGTGTGGCCATGCCAACTCCACCACCCAGCGGCTACAATGCCTGGGACACTCTACCCTCACCTCGCACTCCCAGGACCCCACACTCACCCCTTACACTCACCCTCACCTCCCCCACAGACAGCTGTCTCACGCCTGGTGAAGAAAGTCTGGCTACGGTGAGACACAGAAGTGTTTCCTTGAATGGGAACTCTTCACAGCGTGTTCAGTGAGGATGGCAGTTCTGTAGAAAATCAGTTTCTTAAATGAGGTTCAGTGTTTTGCGTTTTAAGGCAATAGCTGTGACTATATCAGCATTGGGGGGTCAACAGTAGTCACATCTACAAAGGGGTTGTGCTGTGAAGCACTGGTATAGTCACTTTCAGTTTAGTTCAAAGGCTATGAAAGGACAAGTACCTATATATAATCTATATTTCAGTCTAAACTTGATGAGTGTTTGAGAGAATACACAAATGACTGGTTAGGTTTTAAGCTGTTGCAAAAGTTTTCCAACCAGAGCTGGGGTGTTTGTTAAACAGTTAGTGTCTCACTCCTCACTTTGTTAAAGTCTAATCCACTCTCAGTCAGATTAGATATTAACCCAGATGAAGGATCTTTCCTTTCTTGGTTTTTGCACATCAGCAGCAGCCTGTTGTCCTCCCCTGTGAAAAAATGTTTTGTCTGAAAGCTGTGAATCTGGTTCTTCCAGAGTTTACACAGTAAAGAGGGAGTTTGTTTCATTCCAGGTAATGAATGGGAGTTTATGACTTTGAAGGTATAATGAAATACACTGAGCTTTAGAAAAATATACCCCAGCATGGTGTATATGCACAATGGAATGAACTTAATCCTGTTTATCACACTCTCAGTCTGTTGGTTTGTCCTTCCCCTGGGTATAATGAATGTGATGACATGGCAGAATGCACTGAATCTTAATTAAATTGAACATAACAATTCTACAGGCGCTGTTATGGCTTCACAGTGGGAATGACATGATTTGTTACTGCCTTTCTCTCTGCAGTGTGGTATTTGTCTCTGCTCCATCTCTGTCTTTGAGGACCCGGTGGACATGTCCTGTGGCCATGAGTTCTGCAGAGCATGCTGGGAAGGGTAGGTCACTATGGATTTGTGTGCTTTACCTAAGTGACTTTACTTTCTCAAGTTGAGAATTATGATAGTTTTTTTCTTTGGTGTTTCTTTGTCCAAGGTTCCTCAATGTGAAGATTCAGGAGGGCGATGCACACAATATTTTCTGTCCAGCGTTTGAATGTTATCAGTTGGTGCCAGTGCACGTGATAGAGAGTGTGGTTTCCAGAGAGATGGACCAGCGATACCTGCAGTTTGATATCAAGGTAGCAACATCAGTGCTTCTTTTCTACTTTACATACTTGAATGTTGCATCCACTAAATCTTTGATCCCTGCCATTTAATCCTTGTCCTTTCTCGCACTCCCTTGATCCTTTTTCTCAGGCATTCGTGGAGAACAATCCCGCCATCCGCTGGTGTCCAGCAGCACGTTGTGAGCGGGCGGTGCGTCTCACCCGACCAGGTCCAGGAGACAATGACCCCCACAGCTTTCCACTGTTGTCTTCCCCAGCTGTGGATTGTGGCAAGGGTCACCTCTTCTGCTGGTATGAAAACTATGCAGCTTTAATGCAGATGTTACTGACATTACTTACTTAAACCAGGCTCTGATCTGTCAAGCACAAGTCATTGGAAAACTTTGTTCCAGTCACAGGTTAGGTCATTGGAAAGGTCCGTTTTAGTTTCTAAAACTTGCCTAATATCTTAATGGAAAGATATTCACAGTCCCTGTTCCCCGTATTTCATTTTGAACCTGCCTTTAATCCTTCTTGTCTGCAGGGAGTGCCTCGGTGAGGCCCACGAACCATGTGACTGTCATATGTGGAGAAACTGGCTCCAGAAAGTCACAGAGATGAAGCCAGAAGAATGTAAGTCTATCCTAATTTTGTTTTTTCAGTTGCTTTTTTTCCAGGAATTCCAATTATTACTGGTGGACCTGGTGAACTGTGTGTCAGTGTAACTGAGACAGTGAACGCCTCACTGTCAGACCAGTCTTTTCTGGAGTTTTTTTTTAACAGTGGCAGGTGTTTTCTTTGATATTTGCCAAATGTTAGCATGTGTTTGCCAGAGGGTGTATCTGTGGGGCAGGTGTTGGACAACGAAGAGGTGGCTCAACGGTGTGTGTGTGTGTGTGTTTTATCTCCAGTGGCAGGTGTGAGCGAGGCCTACGAAGATGCTGCTAACTGTCTGTGGCTGTTAACCAACTCCAAGCCGTGTGCCAACTGCAAGTCACCTATTCAGAAGAATGAGGGCTGCAATCACATGCAGTGTGCCAAGGTATACCCACCAAACCACAGGTCACGGTTGCACAAATCTGCCATTTAATTCCTGGTAATTAGTTTTTTTTTCTTAAGGGGATTTTCAACAGCACATGCAGTTTTCTTTGCCTTTTGTTTTTCAAGCCTGTGTTCGGTCATTGCTGTTCCCACATCAGTTATTACATTTCACTGAACAGTTTTGTTTGTCTAATTTCTTTTCTTGCAAAGATCAATACAAGGTTTCACATCCATTCAATCAGGACGGGTGTTATTAAAAGACAAACATTAAAAATATTTGGATAAGAAAATGTCATTGCCTTTCTCAAATATTGAAGCTGGAGAACAAATTGTCCACAACATTTGAACAGAATGGTTTGCTTGCTATGAGCTGTTAAATTTAGAACACTTTCTGTCCATCAGCTTTGTCTGATACGGACCTTGATTATGTCTTATACGCCTTTCAGTCTCTTTATTCTGATAAACACTGGTGCTTTTGAATAAAGCTTGTCCTGATTTTACAGTATAGTAAAGTATTTTCATTTGTGTACACTCAGATACCTAGTACTGTCATGGTTCTTTTTTAGGTTTGATTTTAATTAATATGCAATGAACTGCAAGACACTGATGTATTGACTAAAGTGACAGGCAGTGTGTTGGTGTGAGGTCAACACAAACCACAATGAGGAAAAACATATTCAGAAATATTTCAATAAAATATATCAATAAAATATTGATATGAAAATAAAAAGAAAAAAGAGTGAGAAGCATATGTGGGTGTTGAAAGGTCTTAATATTATTCTGTTTCATCAATTTATTTTGTTGGAACTTCCACCACAACTGCTCTCTCTCTCTCCCTTGTTGTTTAGTGTAAGTACGATTTCTGCTGGATCTGCCTGGAGGAGTGGAAGAAGCACAGCTCATCGACCGGAGGCTACTACCGCTGCACCCGCTACGAGGTCATACAGCAGCTGGAGGAGCAGTCCAAAGAAATGACTGTGGAGGTACAAATACTTCTGCCACATGATCATGGACGGTCATGTATTAGCCACACATGCTCTGATGTATAATGATGCTAAAATGTGTTTTCTTTTTTATTTGTCATAGGCAGAAAATAAGCACAAGAGTTTTCAGGAGCTAAACCGTTTCATGCACTATTACACTCGCTTCAAGAACCATGAACACAGTTACAAGGTAATGTGGTCTGGAAGACCTGGGCTTTTAAGACCTCACTTTTCATCTTTGAATATCAGAATCTCGGCTTTTTGTTGTGTGATGAATTGAATTTTAAACATCACAATGAAATCTCGAGTATTCAAATCTTCAGGATTTTTTCTCTACTCTACTCTCAGATAGACTTTCTGGATCAGAACTCCTCCCAGTGTATTCGTCCCACAAGTACATTCTGAATGTGGAAAGTGTGCTTTTTCATTTAGTTCTGCTGACTCCTGCAATAAAATACAGCACAGCCTTAAACCCTAACTCCCCTTTGGACATTTTAGAAATCTGATCTTCAGCCTTCCAGTATTTAATTGTAGATGTTTTATGTCAATGTGATCTTCTTCTTTTTTGTTGTTGTTGTTGCTTTAGTGTGTCTGTTGTTAGTGAAGTGGCGTTTTTTCTGTTTTACCAGTGTAAGTGTAAATCTAAACCGTGTGATGTCACAACTATTTACCTTCTGGGTTTCTCGTCTCTGTTATTAGCTGGAGCAGAAGCTGCTAAAAACTGCTAAAGAAAAGATGGAGCAGCTGAGCAGAGCCTTCATCTGCCGTATGTTTCTCCACAGACCTTGAAATTTTAGTTTGTGTTTCCAGGAAAACATTTCTGGTTAAAGTCACAGCTCATCTATGTTGTCTTACTTTCTCTCTGTCTCATGTGTCCGTATCATTCCGACCCACTGTGGCAGGTGAAGGCACTCCTCCAGACACGCGTTTCATCGAAGACGGTGTGACAGAGCTGCTAAAGACGCGCCGCGTGCTGAAGTGCTCTTACCCGTACGGCTTCTTCCTGCAGCAGGGCAGCACCCAGAAAGAGATATTTGAGCTCATGCAGGTAATGTGATAAATACAGTGTTATCCATTTATTCATACATCCTGTCTGTAAGAACAGGAGGAGAACTGAAACCCCTACAGTCGTCCTGGAAAAAAAGGTACAGTATGTAAGAAATGTATCGCACGAGATATAAAATTGCTCTGCTTTGTCATCAGAGATTAAGGAAACGTGGTACAGAGAAATCCTGACTCATGCTTCCTGATGCGCTCAGAATTTCAATTTCTTAAAACTGTTTTTTTGCCTCACACCTTCTTTCCATCAGTTAAAACCTTGGTTTGTATACTGCTAGTTTAGCACATCATATACACCATTGCAAACCAAAGCTTCTCACCGTCTGCTGCTGCTGTTGACGTTCTGATTCTCACCTTGTTGCTGTCACCAGGACTGTACAAAACAGATCTAATGTGAAAATCTGTTCAATTGATTCGTCCTCATTCCATGCTCCCAGCCCAACACTTTCAACTGTATCAGGAAATACCATTAAATGCCATTTGTTTTATTTCTTCTCCCACCAGACTGATCTGGAGATGGTGGTGGAGGATCTGGCTCAGAAAGTGAACCGACCGTACCTGCGAACGCCGTGTCACAAGATCATCAGCGCTGCGCGGCTGGTCCAGCAGAAGAGGCAGGAATTCCTGGCATCTGTGGCTCGTGGCGTGGCTCCCAACGACTCTCCTGAGCTTCCCCGTAGAAAGTGAGGACAAAGTCACACACAACAACAACATAAAAACATTTCCTTTTAGCTTGACTTTATAAAAATAAACACTGGCAGAGATCCAAGAGAAAAGGTTCAGGCATAAATGCCCCTGGGAAAACTTTTTTGTTCTTTTTCTACATTTCTTTCAGCTACCCTGGAGGATCATGGGACTGGGAGTACCTTGGCTTTGCGTCTCCAGAGGTAAAACAGTTTCATGTCCTTCACCAACACAGGACAGTTCACTCTGCAGCGATTGCGCTGTTTTCCATAAAAAAAAGATGCTGGTGCAGTTGGTGTCCCACTTCTGTTCTGGGTCGTCAACACGCGGCTGCAGCCGTGGCTGACACGGTGTTGTTATGCTTTCAGATGGGGAGTCGTCACTCTGTGCTGGGAGCCGATCAAAGGGACAGGCAGTCGCAGGTGAGGCTCCGCAGCTGCATGGAGTATTCTATATATTTTCCCTCATAGAGCAGGAGAATAGTGGTTTGAAGTGAGTTCAGCTCTAACCCAGTTTGTAATGTTCTCCTGCAGGATTATGCTGACATACAGTACCGCCGTAGACACAGGCCACGGCGCAGAGGAGAAATGCTGAGTTTGCACAACCTTAGAAGTAACAGCAACACACCTGAGACCAGCAGGAGGAGCGACAACACAGGTCTGCTTTTCTAAATTTATACAAATACCTTTTTGCAAGAGGCATTATCTAACCAGCAGAAAGGTACAGAATACATTTTACTTCTTATCATGTATTACATCAGTGGTTCCTACAGGGTATATAGAGACTACGTACTTTGTATTTTTTTTATTATGCAAATACAATACAATAATATGTTTAAACATTTTTGTTTTGAAAAAAAAATTTAAGCTGTCACATATGACAAATGCATGTTTTGAATTGTGTCACAGAACATGCTAGATTTATAGTCATCTTATAGCGGACGTCAATGCTCAGCTTTTACCTTAAGTGAAAAAATACGTCTCTGTCACATTTCCTTCCTGCCTTCAAATCAGACTTTTCCAGACATATTTTCTTTTCTCTCAGATGTTCACGAGAGGAACGATGGCCGCAGGAGAGTTCTGGGATCACTGGACGAAGATGATCCTAACATCCTCCTGGCCATCCAGTTGTCGCTCCAGGATTCCCGCAGGGAGCGAGGCCTGGACGGTGGAATAGAGGAGAGAGCGGAGCTGGACCACGTGCTGGACAGAGGACAGGACAGGATTCCTGGTCCAGCAGGGGACCTGGGTGAGGTGGCTTTGCACTCCCTCATCCCTGATGCTCCTCAAGGAGCTAGAGGCGCCGCCACCTCCTCCTGTTTCCCTGCTTCTAGCCTGGAGCCTCCTCGACCACCTAACAGGACAGACTCCAAACCACAGGCTCTCACCTCGAATCCCTACCCTCTACCTCCCCCGCCTCCCTCTCTCAGTGCAGAACTGCTGGAGTTGGGAGACAGCCTTATGAAACTGGGGAACATCACCACTCCCTACAGCCAGGAGCAGCTGTGTTCACACCACGCGTACAGCCATAGCACTCTGTCTGCTGCTTACACTGGTCCCAGCCATAGACAGGACCAGAGTTCAGTGCTCGACCACATCACCATCACAAACCCCCACTACGATGGCACAGAGCAGAGTTACTGCTGCTCCACTGCTAATCTGGCTGGTGAACACACTGCCACCTGTGCCCCCGATCACACACACAACCCCACCCCTCCCTGTACATACAACCAGGAACAGGCAGCCAAATATGATGGCAGTCAAAAACCAGAGGGCTCTTACAACCCCCGCCCTGAGCACACCAGCTCCCATGCTCCGGAGCGGCCCAACGTCCTCGAACACCTGCCCAAGGTGGCCCATCAGCCTCTAACCAGCAGAAAGGTACAGAATACATTTTACTTCTTATCATGTATTACATCAGTGGTTCCTACAGGGTATATAGAGACTACGTACTTTGTATTTTTTTTATTATGCAAATACAATACAATAATATGTTTAAACATTTTTGTTTTGAAAAAAAAATTTAAGCTGTCACATATGACAAATGCATGTTTTGAATTGTGTCACAGAACATGCTAGATTTATAGTCATCTTATAGCGGACGTCAATGCTCAGCTTTTACCTTAAGTGAAAAAATACGTCTCTGTCACATTTCCTTCCTGCCTTCAAATCAGACTTTTCCAGACATATTTTCTTTTCTCTCAGATGTTCACGAGAGGAACGATGGCCGCAGGAGAGTTCTGGGATCACTGGACGAAGATGATCCTAACATCCTCCTGGCCATCCAGTTGTCGCTCCAGGATTCCCGCAGGGAGCGAGGCCTGGACGGTGGAATAGAGGAGAGAGCGGAGCTGGACCACGTGCTGGACAGAGGACAGGACAGGATTCCTGGTCCAGCAGGGGACCTGGGTGAGGTGGCTTTGCACTCCCTCATCCCTGATGCTCCTCAAGGAGCTAGAGGCGCCGCCACCTCCTCCTGTTTCCCTGCTTCTAGCCTGGAGCCTCCTCGACCACCTAACAGGACAGACTCCAAACCACAGGCTCTCACCTCGAATCCCTACCCTCTACCTCCCCCGCCTCCCTCTCTCAGTGCAGAACTGCTGGAGTTGGGAGACAGCCTTATGAAACTGGGGAACATCACCACTCCCTACAGCCAGGAGCAGCTGTGTTCACACCACGCGTACAGCCATAGCACTCTGTCTGCTGCTTACACTGGTCCCAGCCATAGACAGGACCAGAGTTCAGTGCTCGACCACATCACCATCACAAACCCCCACTACGATGGCACAGAGCAGAGTTACTGCTGCTCCACTGCTAATCTGGCTGGTGAACACACTGCCACCTGTGCCCCCGATCACACACACAACCCCACCCCTCCCTGTACATACAACCAGGAACAGGCAGCCAAATATGATGGCAGTCAAAAACCAGAGGGCTCTTACAACCCCCGCCCTGAGCACACCAGCTCCCATGCTCCGGAGCGGCCCAACGTCCTCGAACACCTGCCCAAGGTGGCCCATCAGCCACCTGCCCAGCTGTGCCTCCCGTCTCCAGAGCTCGAGCCAGAGCTGCTGCTCTCACCGGTGATCCCCCCGGGGCGGCCTTTCACACCCAGCGACCCCCAGAGTCTGGAAGCCCTGGACCCCACAGCCAGTGCCCAGCTGCTGGACAACATCATGGCCTGGTTCAACAACAACATCAACCCCCAGAACAACCCCCAGAGCCTGGCCCTCATCCCGTCACCATCCACCACGGAAACAGAATCTTCCCCCGACACACATACCGAGACTGAGAGCCAGGCATCCAGAGGAGTGACCCCTGCCCAGCTCTGGCCGCCCCTGGAGGGCGAGCCACAGGTGGACGCAGAGTGTGAAAGTCCAAGATTAGGTGCTGCAGGTGAGGAAGTCGCGACAACACCGAGGCCGTGCACACTGGAGCTGGTGGACAGAGAGTCTGTCAGGGAGAGCGTTGACTTGGCGTGTGTGGCAGGCCTGTCGCTGGACGAAGTGCACACACACCCAGGGTCCTGCTCCCAAGAGCTGAACAGCCCCACAGACACTGCCCCCGCATCAGAGACCAACGTAGACCTTGTCCTTCATCTGAATGTGGATCAGTCGCCTGAGGAGTGGGAGGAGCAAGTCCACCTGGTCTGAAAGAGTTTAAAGAAGGTTGAGCCGAGTACGAGAGCGAGAGATGGAAAAAAAGAGTGAAGCACTAATTTAAAAAATAACAAAAAACCTAAGGATGAGGTAAAGCCTGTGTAGAAGACTGGGGGTTCTAGGGTCTGGAGTGTTTCCTGTTTGTATTATATTGTATTTAAAGAAGGACATGAAGCCCGGCACCCTTCTGTCCACTTCTGATGATGTCATACTTATTTTTATTTAAAAGGAGTGACAATGGAGTACATCAACTACTGAGACCATCAATAGACATTTAATGCTGTATGTGTTTTTTTAATTACTATTATTTTAGCTTTTTATTTATTTTTCTGCCTCATGTGTTTTCTGTTTGTTCAGGGTGAGGTTTTGGTGCTGCTGAATATCTCATTTGGCCTTGCTCTTACATTCACACACACAAGCCAAATCTGACGACGATGATGAAGAAGAAGACTGTAATCATGAAGCTTGTTAGCATGTTGTACAATCATAGGGCCATAATCCTCATATTTGGACCCTCATACACTTTGTGCCTGTTTTCTGATACACTGCTGAACTTTACATTGTCAAGACTTCAATAGATCACTGATGTAGTGTCTGTGGTGGGGGTCACAGCAGGTTCATCTGGATTAGATGACAAAGAGTCACAGCCACAGAGCAACACATGCAAGTTCAGTGGTTTTGCTCAAGGGCACTTCAACACCACGAGCACCGGTATTTGTTTTCAGGGGAATTAATCCTTGCAATCCTTGTCAGCCCTCGTCATATCTTTTCTACCAATCACGATAAGCAGTCAGTGGGAAACAAAAATGTTTATTTCTTTATTTTTCCCCATTTTTAAAAATGTTGTCTTATGTAGTTGTGACCAGAGTTGTTGAGTATGTGTGCCTTTTTAAGTTTCTATTATATTTGTTTCTTTTTGTTGTTTGTATTTATTTATGCTGTTATGTTGAGTGCACGCTGAACATTGTTATTCCTAATAATAGTAATGATAATAGTGACAGCTAATGGAGAACACACCACTCTGACTGTTGCCATAACACACTGAGCTTCTTGATGCACATGATTATTATGGTTTGACCTTTCAGTCCGGATTTGTCTGGACTTCATCACAGCTACGTTTCAGCAGTTTTACGATTCAGGGTGTGAACTGAGGCTGATCAGTTATTCATTCTCTTTAAACAACAACCGCATTCAAGTCTGGTGTTAATGCTTTGGTTTCATTTTGAAATTTGGGCCATTTGTCAAAACATTTTTTAAAAATCCTGGTTCTCCATCCTGTGATGTTTTAGGGATATCGTTGGAACATACTCGAGGTTCTTGTTCATATTTCTGTCTCATTTTGAGAATGTGATATGAACCTCAGACTGTATGGCGTAGAATTGAACACTCATCATCTACATCTACGTTAAACTGTGAAGGTGATGAGGGACAAATTGTAGGGTCCTAAAAAGACATTTAATGATGCCCACTATGCCATGAGTGTCCCACACTTCACTGCTTGGTAGACAGGACTACTGTTGTGTTGCATGGTCTCACGAGTGTAAGGTCTTTAAATTTGCACATGCAGGTTGTTTTAGAGTTGCACTAATCCAGTGCTTTCAGGCCAGATAATTAAAGCTGACAAGTAACACTTTTATATTATTATCATTGTTTGATTTGTTTTCCTACATCATAATTTGATTTGTGGCACTGGGCTGATGTCAGTGTCCTTTTGTACTTCATATATAATATTTATATTTTAACAGTCCCTCAGAAGAAATGAAAACAGAAAAAAAATAAGATGAAACACAATTGCACTTGCTAATAATGATACATTCCCAATGGATCCATGAGAGGTTTTGTTGTGTGGCCAAAACTCTAAAGTGAAAGTGTCAGTGCAAGGTTTACTCTCAATAAAATGAACTGAAAGTGTGTTAGTTCTAAACATTTAATTTCAAAACGTCCTCCAAAAAGAGGTTTGTGTCCTTTCACTGATGAAAATTTATATTTGATGGTAACCAATGATCTCATGTGCCAGTATCAGATATAACTAAAATAATTTTAAAAAATGCTTTATGCTTGGATATTTGAAACACATGGTGTGTTATTCATAGAATGTATGGTTCTGATAATGACAGGCGATTACATCTGTGAAAATCAAAATATACTGTATAGTAATGCTTTATTAAGAAGCTGGGAGTCGCGAACAGTGGTATTTGTCTCCCCCTGCTGGTTTTCATAAGTACACAACATTATCAAGTGTTTTGTTTTGCGGTCTTATTGTTTTTTCGGTCAAATGAATTAAACTGCATAAACGTTTAAAACAAGCAAACCTGTATGTAGTGACATACTGTTTGTACTCTGTGTACATTAGCTTTTTTATATTTTATTTCTATAAATTATATTTGTAATTAAAGGTGTGGATGTACAGGTTTTAGCCAACACCAAGGACTGTTTACACTCCATTGAAAATAATTACTTCTATTTATTTATATTTATTATCTTAAGCAGAGTAAGTAGATATTTCAGTTTGTAAAAGCGTAAACTTCCAAAAAGTTAAGCCAAACGCGGTTTGACTCCATCAATAGGCGGCAATGTAGTGTCGTATAAGCCTATGGTATTCTCGCAGCGGTGGTTCGTGACGTCATATAGGAGCGACGGAGACGTTAAGTGTACGACAGCGGCCTGTGCTGTTGTTTTACAGAAACAATTTTTGTTTGCCGGTGTAGGTCTATAGTCCTTCACCATCATGAAACTAGTCAGGTATGTGGTGAAAAGCAGCCTTACCTTGTTTTGTAATGTGGTCAGCGATTGTAAAAAATTAGTTTCTCCGGACGGATGGTTGTAGATATTACCGGGGAAAATGCTAGTGACGGGGAAAGCTAAATGAATGGAGGCGGGTATGTGCTTCTGTAGTCCTGTGAGTCGATATTCAAATGTGTTATTTGGTCGTGATATATGAGCTAATGTTGTAGGAGTTATAACATTGTTCTATTGTTTTGTTAGCTTGTTTTCGTGTTTGTAATCTGGACGCCTCGGTTTACGGCGATTGCTTTTGTTTTGGTAGTTGCCGCCAATGCTAGTAGCTAGCACTGGCTAATTAATGATCATGTTTTTCTCATGTATTTGAGGTATTTGGACTTATAATTTCATGTTCATTGTACTGTATGTGAACAATACTGCTTTGAAGTCTAATGTGGTTCGTATATATTCCAGATTTTTGATGAAGCTCAGCCATGAAACGGCTACAATAGAACTAAAGAATGGCACTCAGGTCCACGGTACCATCACAGGTAAGAGTCACCGAGAGGGCTGATAAAGTTTTATCAATTACCTCTTTTTCGGTAGACAGTGATCGTTTTTTTTTTTTATCTTTATTCGCCTAAGAACAAGCATGAATTTCGGTTTAAGTGCCCATAAATGTTAGTAAATGTTTGTGTATATATACATGTGTGTGTATATATATATATATATATATCTACATTCGCTTTTCTTAACCATAATGTCTTGTTTTTGTGTATACTTTGCTTTGTTTGACAGCAAAGTGTTGGACTTATTTTTAACAGTTTGCAGTAACTCATTCAGTATATGGTCCCAGAGTTTTATTTGTTAGTCTTTCAAATAAGCCCTTTGAGCCATCACTAGCCACAGGTTTAATGACTATAATATATTATAATATAAATTTTTTCACATTTGTTGTTTTTCTCAATAATTTATACCTGGTCCCACAAATTCTTTTACTTATTTACATGATTTCTTGTGATTTTAGGTGTGGATGTCAGTATGAACACTCACCTGAAGGCGGTGAAAATGACTCTGAAAAACAGAGAGCCCACTCAGCTGGAGTCACTTAGCATCCGTGGAAACAACATTCGCTACTTCATCCTGCCCGACAGTCTCCCACTTGACACTCTGCTGGTCGACATTGAGCCTAAGATCAAGTCCAAGAAGAGGGAAGCAGGTGAGTGGACTCAATTTAGCATGCATATTTGTGATCATCAGAACAGAAAGTTCATAAAAATGTATTTTATGAACTTGTGGATGGACTGGAGTGGATATCAAACCTAATATTTTTAGACAAATTTGTTTTGTTTTGTTTTCTGGAGAAATGCTGCTTTGTCTAAATGCAAGTGATGTCAAATTTAGGTGATGGTAGTCATTGAAAAATAATAGATTTGAAACATCCATAAATATTTTGTCACTGGTGAATTAATGAAAATTAGTCAATAGCCAGGTGAGTGACAATTGTTACTGATGCTGACGTTTCTCATCTCAGTGGCTGGACGAGGACGAGGCAGGGGTCGAGGACGTGGCAGAGGAAGGGGGCGAGGCAGAGGTGGAGCAAGAAGATGAAGCCTAGGCCTTCTGTTTTGTGTTATTGACTCGGTGAACTGTTTTTTTCAATCTCTTGGATTTTGTTTTCCTACTGTTTTCATTTGATGGCCAAATAAAGTGTCTTTGAAAATAATTGGCTTTGTATTGTGACTGCTACATAACATGCTGAAGCTGAATTATCTTGGTGCATTTTGCTTGTTTTTCATACACATAAGAACTGTCATATATTTTTACATTCGCTTTTTATCTATCGAAAGATAATTTATCCATGTTCCACTAGGCTCCGCCAAGTTCCCGCCAAACGTTTGTATGTACGTCACGCCTTCTTTTGGCTTAAAAGCGCACCATCAGCTGCACTCAACAATTATTGAACGTTAATGTTTAGACATAATAAAAATATAATAAATAACTCGGTAGGAATTGAGTACCGTTTAGGTAACAACCGGAACTACTTCTTCCACTGATTCATTTCTATGTATGCTTCATGTAGGAACCGGAAGACAATCCTGTCCAATGAGTGGTTGACGATTAGTGACCATTGACCTACAATTGGTCTAAACGACCGGATATGGGCGGAACTTCTGTCTGGATATCCTAAACCTGTTCAAATGATTGACGGACTTAGACTTGTTTACCTGACATCCGCAACAGCACTGAACGAGTCCTGAAAGGAGGAAGAACAATGTCCACAACCGACGTCTTCATGTATTTCGCGTTTGGGAGCAACTTGTTAAAGGAGAGACTGCAGCTGGCAAACTCGTCGGCGGTTTATTACTGTAACGGTCGGCTGAAGGTACTGTATTTTTACGGGTCTATATGTAGGTAAAAACGTTACATTAAGGGGCATTTAAAGACTGTTCTCAGTTCAGTTCATTTTGTTTAATTAACGCCTTCAATTCACCTGGTCGCAAAACTAGTTGTTAATACCGACAGTCATTGACTCAAACAATTCAGTAGGGGATGTTGACAATTCTTTTAGTTTCAACAAAGAAAACATATTTTAGTTATTTATGCCGCCACTTTGCAAAACATTTTGGGGTTTCAACATGGAATATTTACTATATACGTTAGGTATACATTAATGAGGGGAACGCTGTAGTGATGGCAAAACTACTTTTATTTCTCCTAATTTTATTTCTATCACAAGTGTTTCATCCTTTTGGATGCTGCCATGTTGTAGCAACATGTTTTCACAGTGTGTTTTGTTTTTTCAAAATATGTTTTGTATGTTTTTGTTACCATATGTTTCCAAATGTTTTTACATTTGTGACGGGAATGGGAAGGTGAGAGGTTAGATTGATCCAAATAGTCTACAAAGTTAGGCATTTTGCCATTTTGTTTTTTGTGACTGGTTTTACATAGTGGCAGTTTCAAATGAGGTTTTGCAAAAGAGAACTGTGTAGAGTGAGGCCCCGAGATACGAGTCTAATCCGTTCCACAGCACTAGTATGTCCATCAACTCGTATTTTTATTGTATTTTCCCCTATTACAAATAACTAAAATCAATTAATTCGTTCCAGCCCCCCAGAAATATACTATTAATTAAATTAAATTCACCCCCCCATGTAAACATCAAAAACATAGTAAAAACAAATATATTGATAATATAAAATAATAATTAAGAAAACATTTGATATTATTCTTATAAAAATGGGTAAAATAACCCAGCGAGGGACAGTGAGTACGACAGTGCCGGGAGTGAGGACTCGATTGAGATGATACTCGACAGTGCCTGGAGTGAGGACTCGATTGAGATGATACTGTATGATGATACTGTCAACTGCTGCCCCCTTCTGTTGAGAAATGTTGTTGTCAAAGTCCTAAAGATAATTTACATTTACACAAAGTTTTTTAAAAAAAGATTCTATCTTGAAAATGGCACTTTAAAATAAAACTCGTGTTTTCACACACGTGCACAAGTGCAGCCTAAACTAACATAACCAGGCCCTGAAACACTGTGTAAAAGTTAGCCAAAAAGATACTGCAGGAATTTATTATGTTAGATAAATGAAACAGGCAGTAACACCAGTTCCTGAAGTCACCTGTTTGGATCATTGGTCTTTCAGGAAGGAGCTTAGTAGTACAATGACCTGCAGACCCAAGTAAAAATACAAATGTGTTTGTGCAGGACTACAAACTCTGCTTTGGCCTGTGGGATGAAAACATTGACAACGCTTGGCATGGTGGAGTGGCCAGCATTGAGGCATGCCCAGGGGCAGAGGTGTGGGGTGTGATCTGGGCTTTGAGCAAAGAAAGCATTTCAACTCTGGACAAGTGAGAGACACACACACCTCCAAATACACAGCTGGTGTGACATTTGTCCTAATGCTACCCTTTCTTTCTTCAGTCAGGAAGGTGTGAATTTAGGGATGTACTCACCACTGGAAGTGTCAGTGGACACTGATGAAGGAGCCGTCCTCTGCAGGACATATCAAATGAACAACTTCCACGCCTGTCTTCCCTCCCCTCAGTACAAACAGGTACAAACAAACACAAATCTCCATATTCCATTGCTTGAGGTATGTTCCACTGTTCACGTCATCTATTTCTCTGTGCTCTGAATTAGGTGGTGTGTCTGGGGGCCCAGCAGAACAACATCCCAGTAGAATACAGGAATAGGCTGGAGATGGTTGAGACCAACAGCTACAGCGGCCCCTCAGTCCTGGATCAACTCAGGACTCAGTGTAAAAGTTTATTTTTAGACTTGAAAATCAAGTAGCTGTTCCATCAAGTAGAAATGTTTAATTGTAGTGAAGCTTAAGAACAACTCTGTTGTTTTCACGGCGATCAACCATCACAATCATATTTGTGGCACTCACTGCCGTCAGAGGAATTAGTTCTGACTTCATCAGTGACTTTTATTAGCTTGATATAACTTTAATTTTAGCTGTAGGGTTGTTGACTGCGGGCTTTTTGAATCACACGTTACTTTATTTATTGGTATGGTAAATTAAACAGTGGGTTAGACAAACACTTCTTTGAAAACAGTTTATTACATTTTAACTATCTCTGCTTCTTCTGATTGAGAAGAGATGACCCCACATGGTCAACAGAACACTTAACCGAAACCAAGCAACCAGCATTTTCTGAAAAAAAAAAGAAACATTTTATTTTTTCTATAACACAGGGGTCCCTTTGACAGAAAAAAAAAAGTTTGCCTTAGCCAATGTTTTTTGTTCATTAACCGTTTAAGAAAAGAATATAAAAATATGGTGCAACAAACATGGTGACAGGACGTAAGACAATATTATGGTTGATGTAATTTGGCTGAAGGTTCAAAGCTGCTTCAGTTAAGTCAACTAGTCCAAACCACACTGCATGACAGATGGTTGATAGTATGCATTTCAGTTACAGTTTTTTCAATGTTATGTTGTGAGGTCAAGCAGCTCAACCAGCTGCTTGACCTCACAACAACACATTGATAAGACTGTATTCCTCCTCAGATAACTAAGTCTAAAGTCTTCTCCAACAGTAGAGAAGGGAAAGAAGTTCAAACTTACTGACAGCAACTCTAAATCCATGGCACAAAATAATTTAATATTTGGAAAAAATAAGGTTCAAGCCAAAAGAGTAACAGTAACCAAGTGCTCATTGGTCCACAGAACCCAGCATGACCAAACGGTGTATCAAGAACTGTTTCAAAACTGCAGGATTTACCTTTCACTAACTGTTTAAATGGGAACTAGTGAGGGAGTGAAAACTCCATTTTGTCTTTGTTGTAAACCACACTAATCTGTATGGAACAAAAATAACAATAATAATAATAATAATAGAAAATTGGCTTAAATAAAGGTGCAAGAAAAAACTGGGAGAGACCAGGCACAAATCAGTGCTTATATTGAAGTCAGTAAGTTGAACAATGTCATGTGACCAACTAAATGGTAATGCAGCTTAGCAGTCTGCACCACATCTGTATCTGCAGTACGTTTGTTTATCACAGGTTTAATATCAGACAGTACATCGTCATGGATGGAAAAATGATACTGAAGTCAACTGAAGCACTATCTATAAACAGTACACGGAGGAGCTGCCCTCTGGTACTGTATTTGGAAATACTCTGTATGCACAGCAAAACTGACACCGACCGTGAACGCAGTGGCATCATCGAGTGTTTTTAAACCAAGTTATCGGAATCTGAAATACTTGGTCTTTCAAACTCAGTTTGCTTCGTGCCGTCCGTAGCAACCAGATCAGTACCTTTTTCATTTTAACTTTGATCCATAGCTTCGGGTTCCTCCTCGGAGTTTTCTGCCTGTACTGTAGAACTTGCAGGCTGCCGCTTCATCTGTTCTTCTGGCTGCTGCTCCAGGGGTTCCACAGGCTGCTGTTCTGGGATGAAGAGGTTGTGTTTGACTTTGCTCAACTCCTTCATGTTGAAGCCGAGGAAAATAACAGACGTTTTCCTCTTGAGACTTTTCATGCACTTGCTGCGCTTGTTGCTGAAGTGCGCCGCCAACTCCTGCTTTGTGATAAAGAGCCTCTTGCACAGTTCCTCCGACTCGGCCCTGCTCGCGTATGGGTTGCAGTTGAAGTATTTGCCGATAAAGTTTCTGCGCTCCTCCATGTCACACCGATCGACAGAAGTGGGCTCCATGACCAGCTTCACTCTGGGGTCAACTACAACTTCAGGCTCCGGTGTGGGCACCACCTTTTCATGTCTTTTTCGCTGCGCTGCCTTCTCTTCTCGCTCTCGTTTGTTGTCTTCAATGACCTTTTTCAACGCAGCCTCCAGCCTCTTCTTGGACTGCAGCTCTGCTTCCGATACTGGAGCTTTGGTCATAGGGAGGATGGGACGACCCTGAACTGCAGTCTGCTTCATGGTCACACCCTGTGGGACTTGAAGGAAGTAGACCCCCGGTTGCTGAAGGACCTGCTGAGCTGTTTTCACAGGCGGCTGAGGCTGTGGTTGTAGTTGTGGGGGTGCAGGAGCAGTTGGTTTGGGTGGTGGCTGCGATGGCTTTGGTGAACAGCGACATCGCTGAATGTGGAGCATCACAGCCTGCTGAGTGACCTTTCCGGTGTAGACCCCGTTGCAGTATATGCACTTGAAAGCCTCTGTCTTTAGTATGGCATGAATGGTCGGTGCTACAAAGTGTTTCTGTTTCAGATGCTGCAGGTGTTTGGCATCGTTCTGGAACTTTTCATCGCAGAAGGAACAGAAGGCATGGTTGACTTTAGCTGGTGCTGGACAGATGTCTGGCGGGCTGCTTGGCCGCAGTTTAATGTAAATCAGGTCCAGGGAACTAGTGACCAGGGCAACGTTAACTTCAGTGTCTCCGAGAACCTCTTTCGGTGCGGTGGTGTGGACGTCAAAGTGAGGAAACAAAATCCCACCAGGACGTTTTGTGTAGATCCTGAACTTCTGCCGAAGGAAATCGCTGAACGTCTTGCTTGTGGGATCGTGTTGCTTTATGTGCTCAACCAACTGTTTGATTGAAAAGAACATGGTGGAGCAGTGCAAGCAGCTCAGGCCATGCAACAAGTGTTGG